GTTCACCAATGTAAATAAAAGCTAGAAAGAACAGGAGGGCAGCAGATGAAAGCACAGCCAGAATGTTTTCAGATAAACAGTTCACCAATGTAAATAAAAGCTAGAAAGGAGGGCAGCAGATTAAAGCGCAGCCAGAATGTTTTCAGATAAACGAAAAAAGGGTAACTTTGGCCACAACATACATTTTAATAGATTTTTACCTGTGCAAAAAGCTTTCTTTGGCCAACTCAATTTTCAGTGTCCCCCCTTTCCATTTTGTTTTATTTAAAACTGACATGCCTGTAAAACAAGGAGACGGGAAATGAATATTTTCTACATTAAAAAAATAGACTTTAGACTTAACTATGCCTCCTTCTATGATAGTTTGAAGTTTCTTTAGCATACTTATACTCCATTACTCACCTGATTTAAGTTTGTATTACGAAAGGTCTAACACCCTAATCTTACACAAGGTCTACATCCAAAATTGAAGTTCTGACTTCAAAAGAGTCATTTAAGTCTGCAGGGTTCAATTCAAATACAAACCTGAAAATTCAGATACATGTACTCTGAAGTTTCCATACTACTGTCAGATAGACTATTCTCTACTTAACTTCTATACTTTGAAAAACATAGTTAAGGAGTACTGAAAAAAAAGGGAAAAGTGTTTAACGTAGAATTTAAGGAAGTATTAAGGGCTGGGTTAGTTTTTATTCACACTCAAACATCCTTCCCTAGATAAAAGGGCATATTACCAATCCCTCTCTTTGGGGACCTTCACCTGCCATTTTGAGGCTATATATTACACAGGTGGTTATAAAACCCTGCCAGTAGTTTTGTAATCCAACTATTTTGGGATTTGTAAAAATGCTTTAACAGAAGCCTGCTTTATGTAAATGCTCCTTCTGGGCTTCCTTTCACCTCAAGTCACTTCTAATGTTTTATGGACCTGATGAAAGTGTGTGAAGCACATTTCCTCTACCCTTTCATAAAAGGGTCAGGACGAACTCTTAAATCGCCTCTTTCAGTCACAAGGGATCTTTTTAATCTGCTTATATCTGCCTACCTAGACCTCCAATAAAGCAACTTCCATAAAACTGCAGCTTAAAGAAAATGGAATGACTATGACAGCAGACTAAAACAGGGTCTGTCTTGACCACACCCTGGTTTTACAACATCAGATGCATTAGCAGTACTGCAACTTGGCTCAAAAACACAAATTACTTAAAAAAAAAAAAAAGTACTTACACTTTCTAAGGTCGGCATCAGAAATGCTGATGCTGATGTAAGCAAAAGTTTTCACAGGGTTCCCTGAACAACGATAAACATTCAGTTAATTTCGATGTAATTTTGGTGTTTCCTTTCAAACCGTAAATGAAGCTATTTCCTGAAAACAGTGTCTCTGAAGCAAAATTTCCATTCCACACCACAAACTGAAAAACAATTAACACTTAAAGGATGATGCAAAACTGTTACCTTGATCATCTTTCCTGGTAACAACCTCTGCGTCCAAAACACGCCCAAACTTGCCAAACCTTTCCTGCAGTTCCGCCTTAGAAACCGTGTGGCCAAGCCCTCCGACGTAGAAGCGTTTGGAGTCTCGTTTCTCCTCCATGTCGAAGAGCCAAGCAGCCCCACCTGTAACACACACGGCGCTCCTGTCAGAAGGCCAGAACCCTTCGCTAACACCTACACGGGGGGGCTGAGGCAGTCACCACGCCGCGCTAGGGAGCAGAGCGTCCCCTCCTCTCCGAAGGACGCCGCTGTGCTCGGCGCTGGGTCCCGCGCTCTCCCCAGCCCCGCGCTGCTGGGAGCGCCCAGGACTGGGGCCTTGGGGGTTCTACAGCTTGAAGCACAGGCCCTGGGGCACGGCAGTAAATATCAACAGCTCTTGGCCACACAACCCTTCTGAGGATTTCCTCAGCGGGGTCCGAGCCGCCCACAGCCCCAACTCCCAGGAGAGGCCGAGAGGCACCGGGCGAGAACACCCGGGAACCGCCACCCTGACGAGTCGCCGCAGCCCTCCTGTACCGCCCGCACGTGCGGCCCTCGGCACGCAACTCAATTTAGCTTCCCCCTCGCATCCCTTCCTAGAGCTCACTCGGAAAAAAAGGGTTCCGCCTGGTGGGGCCGTTGGATTCCGATTGTCTCGGGGTCTCTTTCGGGTTCCTGTTTCTAGCCGGTCAAGTTTCATGGGAGCACACTGGTTGGGTCTTGTGACAGCGGACGGTTTGGGTGTAACTAACCAGGAAGAAAGGTAGGGGGATTTTCCGCAAGACAAAAGCAAAAAAAAAAAAAAGAAATCGCAAACAAAATAATAATTTTGTTATCCATCTCGAATAATTATTTTGGGAGCCAGCCTTCAAGCGGCTCTGCTGTTTCGCAA